TCACTAGTCGAATCAGAGCTTATGGTCAACTGTCATCTGATTTTGCGTCTTCAAGTGGTGTCCGTCAAGGCTGTCCACTTTCTTCATTTTTGTTTAACTTCATCATAGACTTATTGATGGAAATAACATTCTCGTCGACTGAACTTTCGGGCATTGATCTCCTACCAGGAAGTCCACTTATCGACTTAGAATACGCAGATGACAGTCCTGTTTGGTGAAGACCCTGATAGAATGCAGAGTCTTTCGGTAGCACTGAGCAACAATGCCAGAATGTTTGGGATACGTTTCTCTCTCTCTAAATGCAAGTTGTTGCTGCAGGACTGGCCTGCATCAACACCTGAACTAAGGATAGGGAGTGAAGTAGTCGAACGCGTTGACAACCTCACTTATCTTGGAAGTCTGATCAGCCCTAATGGGTTGGTGTCTGACGAAATCTCAGCACGGATTCGAAAAGCTCCTTCGGCTTTTGCCAACATACGTCACCTACGGCGAATGCGAGATATCCGTCTATCAATAAAAGGACGAGTATACTGCGCGACAGTTCGTTCTATTCTACTTTACGGCTGCGAAACGTGACCATTAAGAGTTGAAGATACTCGTAAGTTACTAGTATTTGACCACATATGCCTTAGAAATTTTGCTCGCATCTGCGGGGATCACCAGGTAAGTAATAGTGAGGTTAGACGCAGGGTATTAGGGAATGATGGTAGGTTAGTTGATGAGGTTGTGAATCTTCATCGACTGAGATAGTTGGGTTATGTATACATGAACATCGATTATTATTATTATTATTATTATTATTATTATTATTATTATTATTATTATTATTAGCTTTATTCAATATTATATTATTGGTAAAGTATAGAATTCTCAGCACAAAGTATTTCAACAAGTTTCCGCTTCTTTCTTCTTGGTCGGTCCTCGCGATAAATACTGAATGATCGCCAGCTAGATGCTAACAGTCCAGTAAATGAATATCTGAATAATGTACATTCTTTTCGTTGTATATTGCCAGCAACAATATTCTCTCTTTTTGAGCTTTTTGTAACTTTGACAACGAAAGGTTGTACACTTTTCAGAAACGCAGCAGAATAGGTTGTGCGATTAATAGACATAATGATATATTAAAACAAACAAAGATAGATAACTTGTCGAAATATCTAGATGGCAGGAACAGGTAGCCCAGATGCTCAAGCAGGCCGCTTATTACGATGCGCATGCTGACTAGTGTAGTGGATGGTTGGGAGAAGGGTAGGGGTGGTCAAAGCAAAACACGGCATCAGTGCTTGAAGTCACTAACTTCTAGTCTTAGCCATGTTTGTAGATGCAGACTACTCGGTTGGGGTCCGTGTGACTATCGTAACCAATGGTTGGAGACTCTTGGTGACATGGCTCAGAATCGATCACAATGGCGTAGGTGTATATACTCTTTGTCTTCCCTTAAACCGTGATATTAAAATTACTTCATACCTTTCTTTCTATGGACTAATTCTTCCTTCCTGCACAATATTCTTATATGCAATCTTTCTTTTATATATTACCACCATTGAACTAACTACTTCTATGAGTCCAGTGTTCATCTTGATGTGCTAATGAGGTATGGCAACTTGGACCGACGCACATATGTGCCTGGTCCTACGTTGCAGTGACTGACCGATTTATATGGAGATGATAATATTCTCCAAAATTATTCAGTGATATTATAACCAGAGATGAGAGAATTGAGTTTTCAACCAGTGGCTTGATATGTTACTCAACCTATTTCAGTTTAGCTAGTTATGCAATATCGGTATCATCATTATCATTACGCATCCCGGAAATAATTGAAACCCTAGATATGGGTATGTTAGTCTGTGCTTGGTAAAGGAGTTATAAATGTCAATGATAAGGAACAAACAAGGAAACGTCGTTTTAAAAACTCACTTTCTCATTAGACAAATGCAAAAGACAATTTAAAGCAATTGATATACTAAGTTCTTTAGCCATTTGCCAACTTATACGACCTGATAAGTTGTCAATAACTTCTGAGAAACCTCGAGCACCGTGAACTTTAGGTAGACATGATGTTCTTCCACTGTCCGACTCAATAACGTCCTCGTTCATCGGGTATTGTTTTTGGTTTTCGTTTACATTGAGTGATGTTGGATCGTCCACTAAACTATTAGTATCAGGAGCTGAGGCTGTAGAAGCAACAGATAATGGTGACTGAGATGGAATATTTAAACCAACGTGAGGAACTGTATGTTCGAGGAATCCCCACATAGCACATTTTAACCGTTGAACGTTAATCATTTTCGCAGTTCGAGCGTAACCAATTTCAATGCGAGCCACTTTATTTGGTTGTGAAATTAATTCTATATCAGTCAATTCACCATCATTATACCCAGCGTTCTAAAAAAAATGAGATGTTATAAGAAACGATCAATTATTGAAGTACGTTATTTCTCATAGGATTGAGATTATTCAGATTTTATCATATATCTACAAGTCGAAATATTTTCAGTTTGACAATTTTGCTTTATTCAGGTATAAAGTTGAATGTATTTTAATTAATAGGAGAAAGCGAATGGAACACAGAATGTATTGGAAATGAATATGGCGATTAGCCTTAAGAATCGATAATTACTGCACAACCAGAATAAATGGGTACACAAATGATAAAGTATTATCCTTCGGAAATGATTGTAACTATTCAGACTTAGGAAAAATTAAGAGATTAGTCTTGAAAGCCACCAAAACTATCATGGAGGAAAGAGCATAATTTTACTTTCCAGGTATTAAGTAGTGTGAAAAGCAAAAAGTTTACAAGAATAGTTTGACCAACTTCTGGTAAATATTTAGTATGCACATTGAGTAGAAATAACGATAATAGCCGACAACTTATAACTAATATTGAGAACGATACAACAAAACAGACTACTGTAGTTGATAATCCCAGAAAGCAAAGTGACGAAGCGCAACAAATGCTATACAAAGACGGAAACTTCAGTAGAACCACATATATGCAGATACTATATACTAAACTTTAGTCACTAAATTACGGCTAACAAACAATATACCTATTTTTTAATAAGAAAATGAGGTCTAGAAACTAAGCGTTTGTGCGCAAGACCAGAGGTCTGAGTCCCACGTGTGTGCAGTCACAGGGAGTCCCATAAGGTTTTCAATGGTGGTCTAACATTGATCAGTTCATGATCTCAATGAAACTCAACAATTTCCACAAACCTTACTGATATATATATATATATATATATATATATATATATATATATATATATATATAATGGTTACCAAAAAATCACCTGAAGTTGATACATTCAATCAGAAACATTTTAGACGCTTGTTAGCATATAGAAAAAAACAAATCCGTTGACGAAGTAAACATTTTACGTGTATTTGTGACCATAACTAAGCATTTGGGAAAAAAGACCAAAAAAATGTACGATGGTTTTTTCAGACTCTGCTCATGGACTAAACAAAAACGAATGGATCGCTTGGTTTCACTAACACACCTTATTCTTGCTTCTCTATTACGCACTTAGTATTAATGGAATACCAGATTGTTTTGAATCCCATAAAACAAATGTTGAACAGCATTTCTTTGATCGACTTACTTGTGTAAAGGCACATTCGAATGGGATTATTGCGTCATCATCATCGTCGTCGTCATCTTGATGGTTCCTCAACTGGTCGAGTCCGCCATCAGCATCTTCATACTCATTGTCAACAGGTCGTTCTGAGCTACCAACAGTTAGAACTGCACATAATTCATTAGTTCCAACCATATAGTCTGCGTTCTCACTCTGACAATTAGAAATAAGGAAAAACGATAAATCTATTGACATGCACAGCAAATAGTTCGCCCCGAATAGCTCAGTGGTAATGTCTCAGATTTGTGAAAATCGGTGGTGTGGAGTCGAATCCGCTAGGGAGCAAAAATCCCCCCAAGATTGGTGGTACACCTTGTTGATGAGTACCAAGTAGCACGATACCTAGATCAAGAAGGGTTTCCTCTCGACTACTTCCAACCACTTTAACATTTAGTGCAGCAGTGACTTAGTGACTAAGGCGTTTGACTTCTAGCTTTTTAATCGAAGCTTACAACGCCGCTCCAGCTACTTAGGTCTGGGCAATCGAAGAGTATCATTAGCCCCCAAACTTACATTGTGGCTCACAGTCAAGTAACTGGTGAATGGGTGAACTATTATAATTATTATATACATCATATACTTTCGCTAAAAAAAACACAACTAAGTTTGAATGCGTATGAGATCATTAGTTGTAATAACAATTTGGAGATTGATCGTACTAAACAGCAGCACAAAATAAAATGCATGGATTGTTTGAATTTTCGAGATGAGTAATGTAATGTTGGTGTAAAGGCTTAGTGACAGTAGGTCGTCGATTCAAAATACAAGTAATACAAGTAGGAAGGCTACCCAGATCTCATATATAGAATCTCATAATAAGAAACGGATGATTAATAATCGATACACCTAATTCATGATACATGACTGAAACAATAAATACTTACTGTAATGTTATTACAGTTTGTGAGATTTCTACCATCAGGGAGAATATTCGGACGCAGAATTACATCTCGATTAACAAGTTGATATAAAGTTTGGCGAGAATCAGACCATTCTGAAGGGAGCATGTTCATTTGACGATTGGCTTTCTGCCTGTAGGTTTCCTTAAATATCGTAGAGTTGGATGCAGTACTGTTTTCTACACCAGATGATAGGACATTTTTGAGCCAATCTCGTCTGGACAATCTACCACTCCTAATATATATAATGGAAAAGATTAAAATGGTCAAAATTAAAAATTAAAAGAAACAGACGAGTAAGAACGTGAGTGAAATAAAATGAAATTTCTACATTTGTATGCCATGCAGATAATGGTGAAAAAGATCCGATAAAATATTAATGTGAGATATTCACTGTAATCAAGCAAACTACTTTACAGTTGATAGCTGGAAGAAAAATTAAGCATGGTTTATTTACTATCATAATGTATGAATTATCAATGTTCTTACTGACAGAGAACTAATTAAGAAAAGTTTGTGTAATATGGTAAAGTCAGAAAGACTTCTCGACCTTGAGTATGCGGACGATATTGTCTTACTGTGCGATAATGCCCAAGGCATGCAATCCGCACTTAATCAGTTGGCAATCAATGTCCGTAGGTATGGTATGTGCTTTGCACCTTCGAAGTGCAAAGTACTTCTACAAGACTGGCAGGATCCCAATCCTGTACTCACCCTGGATGGTGAGCAGATAGACGTAGTTGAGAAGTTCGTGTATCTGGGTAGCTGCATAAGTGCTGGTGGGGGTGTGAGTGATGAGATCAATGCACGAATAGTGAAAGCCAGAGCGGCTTATGCCAATCTGGGCCACCTTTGGCGCCTTCGTGATGTTAGTCTGGCTGTAAAAGGCCGGATCTACAACGCGTCGGTGAGAGCAGTTTTGCTCTATGCTTGTGAAACCTGGCCTCTCCGAGTTGAGGACGTTAGACGACTCTCTGTGTTTGATCATCGCTGTCTCCGAAGGATTGCTGACATTCAGTGGCAACACCATGTCAGTAATGCAGAGGTTCGGCATCGTGTGTTCGGGCACAGAGATGATAACTCAATTGGTGTCACCATCTTGAAACACCGACTTCGGTGGCTTGGACATGTTCTCCGAATGTCGTCCCAGAGAATTCCACGTCGTGCATTATTTGCCGACTCTGGGACTGGTTGGAAGAAGCGGAGAGGTGGTCAGTGCATGACATGGTGTCGTGGCATGAAAGAAAGCTACAAAGGACTGGCTTGTGTTGGTCCTTCACGACTCCCTGGCTGGGGTCCGAGAGATGGTGCAACACAGTGGCTAGAGACGTTATCAGATATGGCTCAGAATAGAAACCAATGGCGATCCTGCTGTAACCTTCTTTTACTTTCTTCATAAAAAGTGGTTGTGTCTCCTTTACCTGAAAGATTTCTTCTGATTGTACATCTTCGTCATTACTCTCTTTTTCTTTTGCGTTCCTTAGTTTTTTTTTTTCTTTCTACTTCTCTTCGAATTCCCATTGTTTTGTGTGGCGCATATATATTGGCGCTCTCTTGTACCAATATTTATGTGTTCAAATAAATAATAAATAAATAATACAGACAACATAGTCCCCTATATCGAGTAATTCAACTTAATTCTACCATATTATTCATATTTTTGTTTCGTTAGAATAAAAAAACTATATCATTTTTAGATTACATAGATAGAACGACTAAAACCACGGAGTAACACCACAATGATTTAAGGAATCAAACTTCACCCAAAACAGTCAAAGAAGTATTAAAATTGAAAGAGATAAAAAAAGTAACAAACAGGTCAAGATAGAGTGGCATAACATTTTGGATAAATAAAATTAAGAATATAAATATCGTGTGACGCATTTGTTGATTTCACTATGCACCAAATATTCGGACGTTAATGCTAACTAGTTATAAATCCAGTATTTGTAAAGTATTATGAAATTAAAGACACTTCAGTCACATTTTTGTAGGCTAACAATAAAGGTGTCACTATTCAGCTAATATAACAGCTGTTAAAATGACTGAGGTATAGTAACGTTTAGTGGGCCTTGAAATTGTGATTTTGTAGAGTGAAAATTGATTATTGGTATCAGTAAATTAATCATAGGTAAACTCTAATATAGCTCAATAATTATCTTAAAAAAGATATCTATATGGATCAACTGTTCTCTGAGACACATCATAGTTTACTACAATTTGTATTCAGCTGTTTATTGGTGGTAAATGTAAATTGATGTAAGAACTGAAGTGAATAAAATTTGGAAACAAGTGATGAAGACATGGTTCAGCTCTTTTCGAGCGGACAACTACATGAAGATGATGAAGAAAAATAATAGATTATGACAACTCCGCTTCATCATAGACAATAGCAGATAGTACTCTTTTAATAATGGTTCTGATTTCTATAACTATAAAATTAGAGGTAGAAGCGGATACTTCTAAAATCCGAAGCCTTTTTGATCTACATACTGAATGTCGGTAAATGCGAAATCTTAAACTTACTATAGTAGTACAAATATGGTGGATAGCTATGGGTCACTTTAGAAGCAAAAAATGTTTTGTATGATGTCGTTGCAAATAATCAATTTATTGGATATTATTTTAATCGTAGGGTTATCAGATTGATCATAACGGTCATTTACATTTCTAAATATTTGTCTAGCATTTGAAAAATCGGAGACTATTTAAACTCACATATGCGATCTTAAAACATCAGAGACCGAATAAAGATTACGTAGTCAACGTTAACCCCAAACTGAACAAAATGTACTTTCTAGTGGTGAAAATTGTAACATGATGGAAATGTGAAAAGAAATCGATAGAACGGCAATTTAGTGATCACAACACTCAGGTTTTCGGTTAGAACCTTGCGCGACCGGTTTTTGGTTAATGAAGTCGAATATAATAGCTAATTCTTAGACAATGTCAAAAAAGAGAGCCAGAGTAATAAACCTGTATTTGATAGTGGTTATATTAACATTAATAATTGTGAAAAAAAGGAATCAGCTAAAGGATAACTACAAGTCATTTTAGTGACAGATTTCAAATACGAAAATATTGTTTTTAGAAATACAATTTACGAACAATCTTTTAAGAACAAATATACCAAAATAACTGTGCATTTTAATTTATACAAAGTTAAAATATTTATATTCTACATTGAATTGTAAGAAATACGACCTTGCTACGAACTGTGCTATGCAACAAGTATATTTTTAGTCGACTAGATAACAAACTTGCCTTGTTCGATTCTCGCTCGGTTTAATCGTTTCAGCATAACAGATTTTTTGCGCTTTATCTCTTTTCGACTTGGTCATCTTTCGACTGTTTATTACCTTGTCAACAATCCCCGTTTCACTTTCACCTAGTCCATGTTCAAAATTTTTCTCAGGGTTGTCTGAAATAAATATGAAATGGATTGACCGAAAAATTACCATTAAATTGAGTAAAATATTATAAAATCAAAATATTCGACAAGCGACATTAAAACACTTAAGTGTCAAGGCATCAATTTTTTAGAGTAGTTAACTATACATTAAACAACACTGGTCGACTCCATTTAAACAAAATGATATCAAGAAAAAAGGAATTTGTTGGAACACACATGAAATTCAAAATGTCGCTACAAAAATTGAACTTCTTAAGATAAAAATTGAACTGCCAATGATACAAAAACTATTTCTACTGTTGTTCGATGTACATTAAGATAAAGATAAATGTTTAGAAAAGAGTACAAATACAAATTAAAATGAAAGGGAAAACAGAATAGACGAGTAACAAGCGAAGTAGAAATAACTTCTTTTAATTTTTCCGAAACCAAGCAAAGTATTCACTTTCTCGATGTTGAAACGGCGAGAAAACCTGATAGAGCTCTCAGATCTATTTACAGAAACCATTGTGGAATGACCAGTTATTAAGCTTTGGCAGCTAAGTTTCTATTAGTAGAACAAGAAATCTAATCATATAATATGATTGATTACGGACAATGAAAGAAACTGAAACTTCCATGTTAATTGGTAACTTAACGACGGTTAACTGGTCAATAGTTTTAAAACGCGTACATTGAAAGGAATCTATCTTGGTTAAATTCCTTTCTAATTAATATTTTTCTGCTATTAAATACTAATTTTGTTCATTTCTTTAATGATTATGTGGCCGTTTCATCTCCTTCATAGCATTATTATTTAAAATTGTACTACATTTCTTTGGTATGCCACTGTACCAAAATTTCTACGTGTAATAAATTGATTAAAATAAAGCCATAACAACAACTGAAGCAGAACGATATAAATTCATTATATTTTGTGGTTTCTCATCAAGTCCTTACAACCACTGATGTGTATTAACGTGTAACATTAAGGTATGATATTATATGAAATAATTGACATAGATGACGGGAAAAACTAGATTAACACGGATTCAGTCAGTCACGAAGCAGAACCTGGTACGTATGTACATGGGTTCAAATTGCCACACCCCATTCGTACAGAAAGATGGAATTGTCAAGCCGAATCTCAGAATAATAGAGGTAGTAACAGAATCAGTGGTAATAGGAAAGATTAGGCATTGAAGATACGATTCGGGAAGATATAAATTAGTAAAATAAAAACGAACAAATTGTGAGGAAATTAGAATCTCAGAATTTGCGGGAAGACAAAGATTGAATGTGCGTGCGCCGTTGCAAACGATTTTGAGCCATATCATTTAAAATCTCTAACAAATGGTTACAATAATCATACCGACCCCAACCAGGTAGTCTGCACCCATTGAAGTTTACAACACCATATACACACAAAAAATCACTGATCTTAGGTTCCTATGCGTATATATACAACGGTTAGGTTAGTATTGAGAAGGAAAAAATGCAAGCTAGTAGAGTACTAACACACTGAACGTTAAACACCACACTCGGCATCTAGATCTTGGGCGCTAGCACGAATCACGGAAATTTTGAATAATGACAAAAGATTTTTGGGAGGACTAGGTTGTATGTTTCCAATATTTATTTCTTAAACAATTAGTTAATAGTATTTTTATTGAAGTATCCTAAATTTAGGTTTTCATTTGAGTTTTGTTAAGATATCTTTGACCTTCAGTTAGTTAAATTTAAATTTATTAATCAATTTCGTATTACAAATGATATAGTTAAGTACTCAATGAGATTTATCATTTAGTGTGAGATGTTGAAGCCCGGTTTTTATAGTACCCTGATTCGTGATCTTGGAATAAGTTAATTTTGCGTTAAATATCGACCGTTAGCGTATACAGTAACTGTATTAGTAGGTGTAAGTCGAAGTCATAACGTGGTAACAAGGACGTAAGTTGGTGGTTGGAGGTAGTCAACAGGAAACCCTGGAGCCGGATTCCGTGCTACTTGGCACTCGTCAGCAAGGTGTACCTGTAATCTTGAGGGAACTGGTGCTCCCTGATGGATTCGATCCCGTGTCACCTAGCTTCACAGTCAGAGACGTTACCACTGAGCTATCCGAGCCGTGACTAACCTCCTGTAGGACTGAGATGTAATCACAATTGACTGATCACTGGGTGGTGATCAATGTCATGTCACGGTTTTTATTTTATAAAGATCAATAGTCATATATATGCCTATAAAGTGAAAATAATAAAATGAGCAAAACAAACCTTCATTTAATTTAACTGTACCATCCAACTTCGGTCTTTTAGCTTTTTTACGCCAATGTTCAGGTCCTGCCCACATACCCAACAGATGATCATTTAATTTTCCAAAATGTTCATACTGTTTATCCAGCATATTTTTTAAACAGGATACAAATAATTCACCATCTGCTGTAGTAGTAGTAGTAGTATTAGTATTAGTAGCGGTAGTACTAAATAATTGATAAAGAACAGAATTATTTCTGTTTGAAAATAATAGAAATAAGTACATATGTACATTAAAAACATCTCAGTCTTCGCCACCCTTAATACTATTGATAATATATCAAGACGTTCAAACAGAAGTGAGTGGATCGACTTAATGATTGAAACCAAAATGGTCTTAGTTATTTTAATACATTGATCCACATAGAGTTGCAAGTATGCCCTAGTATGAATAATTCAGCTGAATTAGGTAGTTGTTTTTTAACTGTTGCAAAGAAAGACTGAAATTATGAGAATTCTCATCACTCCATTGTAATGGTGAATATAAATAATAAATGAGACAGGAAATTTTGTAAATTGGAAAAAGTTATTGGTCAGAAGGTATAATTTCGATAGTGGTAAATTGTTTTGAACTTGATAAGTTAATTTCGAAAATTTCTACATAAACTATAGCAAAACATAATTTAAAGATGACAGTGGATTTAAACCATATGGGCTTTAACTAATCAATTAATTCCCTAACTCGGACCTTTGTGAGTTGAAATATATAAAAATAAAGAGATTACGGTGAAAATGATATTCATTGTTGTTACTCGGAAGAGGTAAATATTTACATAAGGATTCATGATAAACACTGTGCGCTAATT